TACATACATACATACACACACAGACAGACAGACAATCTTACATATATACATACATACGTACGTACATACATACGTACATACATACATACGTACGTACAGACATACATACATACATGCATATATGCATATATACACACACTACTACGTACTTATTTATGTATTCTGTACTGAATATTGCATTGTCGATATTGTATGTTCTACGTTGTCTAACCATCTATCATCCGTCAACCTATCTATCTATCTATCTATCTACCTGTTACACTAAGTTCTATTCGCTTTGGAATGCAATATACTTTGTATGTCTAAATACAAAACAGAAACTTTCCAAATTATTCACACAACAAAAACATGCATTGTGTCTTGCATATGTTATATCTGTTTTGTCTGCCATGTCGAACCATATTTCGAGTTTGTGATTCGTACACCATACATACATTGTGTGTTATATGCTATAAACCATATAGCTATAGAGAAAGCGTGTAGTAAAAGATACATACACATGTAAAACTACGTGTGTATATATATATACATATACATATATATATATATATGTATGTATGTATACACCTATACATATACATATACATATGCATATACATATGTGTATATATATATACATATATTATGTATAATACATTCTGATGCTGTTATATATTGTACATACAACAGTCATTACAGACTGTGTTGTCGTGGTGTATACTATTGTATATAAACACACCTGAATGTGCACCGTGTGAAATGCCTCTAGCTGTGTTGCTGCGTAGCGTTGCAGTGCACGTTGGGCAGCCATCGGGAGGAAGACTTTGACCTCGGCTGACAATAGGAATGAGTCTATTGCAATGTGCCGAACATCATATGCCACAGCGATGCAAGGCGACATCCGGAACAAAAGATGCAACAGAATCTGCACACCCGATGCAAGAACTTCAGGATCCGAGGAAGCACATGCATTCGTCACGCTCGCATTCATCCCGCCCGGGATCAAGCCTCGCTTTGCCTCAAGCCTATAAGCACACCCTGAAGACCAGAACGTCGACTGAAGGGGGCTTCGCGCCCGTAACCATTTCAAGAAGCAGAGCAGCAGCACACAACACGAAGAAGCGAAGACCTTCCACTGGGAACCAAGTTGCCTCCAGCAGCTTGCGGTGCAGGTCGTAGGCTCCTCAGACTTCAGCAAGCTTCGTGACCTTCTAAAATACTCTGCTCACATCACGATGATAGAACTTTCGCCCCCGTCGCGGCGACAATGCGAATGACGACCGCAGGGTGTGCCCTCTGTCACGTCTTGTCCGCGGTAGCGTAGAAACATTGCTACGATGCATGCTCAGACGCCCGTCTCCGCACTAATGTCCAATGTGATGCCAGCTTTCTTCGTCGAGGCTGGCCGCAACAGAAGCCGAGGCCCGCCCCATCTCGACAAAGCCCTCCTAGATCATCCTAATTTCCTCAAGTAGCCCAAAAAGTACCCGGTAGGGACCCAAGTACTGCAGGGCTCGAAGCATCTCATACTAGAGTTTCGATTCCAAGTTCCCCTTGCTCGATGTCCAGGTTCGGGTCCGAGCCGAAACCCCAACGAAGCACTCAAGCCTGAAGCCTTTTGCAGCAGACGTGGAAAGACCACACAACATGTACTCTAAAGAACTCTTCAAGGCTCTATAGACCCCAATAGACCCTAAACCCGATGGAAGAAAGCTGAAAAGGCCCAGGGTCGCTGCAGTCGGCTCAGGCGTTGGTTTTCCGACAGCAGGGCATCCCGGAGGCACTGTGGGATGGCAGAATCCTGGAAGCGCAGCCAAGTCTGCGTTGCCCTAAACCCTAAACCCTAAACCCTGGGGTTGCCCCGATGTCTGTACTTTCAGAGACCGTGGCCACATGCAGTGCAAAGCTGTGAGAACTGGGCTGCCGAGAGCTTTGAAGAGACCCCTCACCTGCAACAAAGATGCATGAAAACCTGTAGAATATCTATATATATATATATAGATGTACATATATATATATATAGAGAGAGAGAGATATAGTGTAATGTAGCTGAATCCTACAGCTCCGAGTCGGAGGGACATCTGTCCTGGACTCTGGGCACTTCGGTCTCCGAAACCCGCCGGTAGAGGAGGAAGTAGGCATCGGCTGAGTGCAGCGCCCGGGGGGCCTGCGGCTCGGAGCTGTCGCCAGCTCCGAAGAGTGCCGAACACTGCGTGGCACTGAGGACTTGCACGCGGGTGTCGTTGGCATCCCTCCAAGCACCGCTGCTGGGATCCCAGGCAAAGGCGTGGTAGTGGCCTCCATGAGCAGTCCCGCTATGTAGGCAAACTGCAGCCAACTGGTACAAAGAAGGCCCGCTGCCGCTGTCAGAAAGAAAAGCCAGGTCTAGAAGCAAAGGCAGCGCGACAACTTCTGAAAGCTTCTTGCGCCGCATGGTCGCCACATCGAAGACGAAGCGGAGCAGCTGTATACAAAGTATCTTCGGCAAGCTCTCTATGGTCAAGCCTGACAGGGGAGCTGGAATCGCAACCCCGACGCCCATGACCCGAACCTGGACCTCTGGGAATTCGGGTTCTCTCCTAGTTCTCAAAGCGCATAAGTGCATGTGTCTCGTGTCCATAAATTCGAGACGTTGAACGTCAAAGCCCCTCAGGCACTGAGCCCTAAACCCCAATATAAGGGCCTTAATACTCAGAAATAGGGTTTTGGGGCCCATTCTACTAGAAATGATAGTAAGGAACCCCACCCCAAAAAATAGTATAGGTAGGTAATCATCTAAGCCCCTCAGCCCTAAACCTACCCTTACCGGCCTTTCAGGGCATCAACCTTTGCGCCCAGCTCCTCGCAAAGCCATTGGTTCTCTCCTTCCATGACCTGAGCTCGTAGGTTTTAGGGTTTAAAGGGTTTAGGGCTTTTAGGGTTTAGGGTTTATAGGGTATGGGGTTTAGTATTTAGGGTTTATAGGGTTTATAGGCTCACAACTCGGACAAGCCAGGCGAGGGTTCATAGGTGCAGAAGTCGGCATGATACTATGCGTTGCCAATATAGGGTTTAGGGTTTAGGGTTCTCTTAGCGCTTCACTTGCACAATGATACAATCTCTAGATCCCAAATTTGAGCAAAGCAACCTATAGAGCATCCTCAGAAAGGCATCGCTGGCTATAACAGCCAGGCTCAAAACTCCGAAAAACCCTTAGCACAGTAACTCCCAAAACCCTCAACCCTCTGAATGTCCAAAATGCTGAACCTTAAACCCCACCAAAAACACCCTTCCGCCCCTACATCCCAAAACCTTAACCCACTAAATCCGACCCAGGACCCTGACCCCCAAAACCTTTAACCTCAGGTATCAACTTAAACAAAAATCACGAAACAACTTCACACCCGAGTCCCACCAAAGATCCTAAACCTCCCAAGTTCCCCAAACTTTGACATCGGAAACCGACACATTATCTGCCTCGGGTTCGACCAGTTTTCGCAACGCTTCCTCCAGACTGCTGCAGTCCTCTGACTTGAAAAGCCCTAAAACCCTACACCGCCTAAACCCTTGACCCTACAACCCTAAAGCCCTAAACCCTTAACACCCTAAACCCTAAAAACCCAAAGCCCTAAACCCTTAGAATACTGTCAGGGTCCTACTTATAGGATGGCAGAAGTCTTTCTGAGACCTCCAACTTTAGAGGATTCGCTCAAAGGTTGTACAGGGAGTCTATACTAAGGCTCCCTTTTATTAGCACTCACAACCCCTAAACCCTTTTTGCTACTGGACTCAAGTCTAACCCCTAAACCCTAAACCCTAAACCCTGAAGCCTTTTGGGGTTTATAGGACTGATCAGGGCTTCCTTTTTTGAAGGTTCATGTCAGAATTTGTGGAGGGCCCTGGACTCCTAAAGGGTTGTATGGGGTTCTATGAAGTGGGATGTGCAGGGGATGACGTCGGCTTTTCGAGTTTAGCAGATTTCAGAAAGAACTTTGGCGGCCTAGGCCCTAAGCTTAGGCCCCGAAGGTGATTTGTCGGGTTTGACTCTCATACCCCCACCGTCAAAGACGATGCATGACACGCCGCCGACAAGACTAGTCTGATGAGAGAAGCCGTTCACGAGGACCAATCGACCTAAGACCCAACAGAGTTTCAAACGTGAGTACAACGTCCCAGCCACTGGTTGGCCTCATGGTACGGCATGCGAAACTGCTCAGGTTCAACTCAATGTGCAATGTGGCAACAGTTGCATGCGCACGAGACACATTAACTGAAACTCATAAAGCGCCAACCGGACGACTGTGACCTAACTCTCAGACTCGCTATGCCCGTTCGGTTTTGTTCTCCTCTGGCTTTGACTGTTTGATCGAGCACCGAAGAAATGCCACACATGAGGCCTCTCATGTCACAAAGTGCAGGTCCTGGATAGGCACCTGCAGATCCATGTACTTTTCAGTGCGCGCACTTTGGTAGACTTTGCCGTTGATCTCCTGCACTGCGCTGTCGACAATCGAAGAAGCTGTGCTACGCGGATTCCGTGTAGTGTCTCCAGCATATATACTCCCTGTCTAGTCTCTACCGGTAGGGCCATCGGGCGCGCGTGCCTCTTTGCACTTGATGTAGGATGTCGACTGCCCCGCATACCTATCGAAATTCAGGACGAAGCCATGTCAGACATGCTCCGGTGTACGTGGCAACAAGTTCAAAGTTCCTACGCTTGGACGTATTTTGCACCGGCTGCATCTGCACAGCCCTGCGAAGCCCTTTTTACACCTGGACTACGCATATGCCAGGAACCGAGGCTTCGCAGGCCCTAAACCCTAAACCCCTAAACTTTTAAACCCCTAAACCCTAAACAAGACTATGGGAAGCCAGGCCACAAACCGCGAATCGCATCGGCCAGAAGGGACGAGGACCTGATGCAGTCGGCACCTACTGAATGCAATGCTCTCAATACCTGGTTATAGAGCTCTTCCTCTGTGGGTACAAAAACAAGAATGTGTAAACTCTTCTTTGCTTTCCTTGTTTCAGACGTGTATACATACATTCATTCATTCATTCATACATTCATACATTCATACATACATACATCCACACATCCATCCACACATCCATACATATATACATACATACATACATACATACATACATACATGCATACATACATGCACACACATATGTCAAAAGAGAAACAAACAAGTAAATCCAGAAATACATAGGTACCTACATAAGACAAGTAGAGCACATTGCATAACCCGGCCTCTCCAAGGCATCGAAAAGAACCCGGCCTCGGCTGCAAGATGGAGCAACCAACTAGGCAAAGATGCGGCTTCGCGCTCACTTTTTCTGCTAGTCTTCCATGACTTCACGGGACATTTCAGAGGTTCGGGCCATGAATTCATTCATGAATTCATAGGCCACGACGCTGTGCAGACAGGAGCTGGTTGGAGATCCCGGCTCCGCTTTGGCAGGCTGAGATTCCGACAAAGCTCCTGAACATCGTGTTGCTGCATCGCATCCCGACCTGGCCCCGAGGCTCGCGGAAAATCACCACTGAAACTGATGAAGCCTTGCATGAGGCTTCGAGAATCGCCCAGCGCAGCAACATCTGCCTCAAAAACCAGATCGCTACTGAGGAAACCAAGGGGCCAAATAACTTCCAACTTCGCATTGCCCACATGTTGTGCGGCGATCACGGGCCCGCCTGTGAAGCCGCATGCCGTCGTCAAGTCCTGCACAAAGCCCATACTTGGATGTGCTGACGCCTCTGAGGCCTGGGACCGGAAGAGTTGTGAGGCTGCACCGTCACAGCAGCAGAAGTCCAAGCTCCATACCAGCAAGAAGACTAGAGAGTCGAAATGCTCTACTCGCGATTACTTGCACGCCCGGAAAATTCAAACGTGGAGTGAGGCCATGAAAGCCTTCTGGCTTTGAATCTCAAATTGCCCTGTGAGCCCATAAACCGCATAATGTAGTAGCATCACATCCTACAACATAATAGAATATATCACGACGCAACATCCTACGGCCTAACATACTATATCGAAATACGCAATGCACTATAACCTGCAGATTACATACTATATCGAAATACGCAATGTACTATAACCTGCAGATCTATCAGTTCGCCCGGCCCCAAGTTTCTCCAAAACCGTCCTTTGTGGATGCAGCACCAGCAACGGAAATCTGAAGCTCGGCGAACAGCTTCTGGAGCTGGAGTGGGATGCCTCCCCGGGGCAATGCATGGAGATGTCATATAAATATGTGTGTACATATATACATATTTACATATGCAAGTATGTAACAAGAACAAAACTCACAATCGACATGTGTCTGTATGCATGTATGTATATGTATGTCTGTATGTAACTACGCATGTACGCAGTTGTGTAAGTCGTAAGTATATCGCTGTGAGAGTACCAGGTAGAGTCACCCTTCATGAGGACAGTGCAACAGAAATATAACTCTTGCACGAACAGTATTAGCGAAAGAAACGCGGCCGGCAACAATCGTGATGTTTGCTAACATGAAATGGTTAATGCGCCAGCCCTGCCCCTTCCCAAGCTTCAGAGCGCAGACTGGGGGGCACCGTGACTTCAAAACTCAACCCTAAACCCTAAAACCGCACGCTCAACCATCTGGGCCAAGGGCATCTGCTGGCTTCTCCATGGAGATCGGGGTCGTATTCCTTCCGTCCCACTACCTATTTTTCCGTATTATATAACACATGCAACTTTATGGCTCTATGTTCTAATATGGCATTGTATGATACAATTTACCATCGTACATAATATGTAGTGTCAGAAGGCGTAATTACCAACATACAAACACCTGGGGTTCTCGCGCGCATGCACCCGAACACCTGGGCCCAAGCGTACAAGCCAATCACCAGCAGCCCTTTCTGGCTGAGGGTGCATGTGTACAGGCCTCCGGGGACTAAATGCTGACGAAGGTCGAAACCATAAACGGCAAGCCGGAACTCGGGCGTGTAGAACAAGGACTGTAGGAGGGAGTTCATGTAGCAGGTGGCCTGGGTAGCAAACAAAAGCTTCGACTGCTCTGACTGACACGGACATACAGCTATCACGTTCTGGCAGCATCGGCACGATGGCACTACCCAGCAACGATTGTCATGGCAGTGTTAAAGACAATGTTAAAGTCATGAACGATATAGTAGTCACGAGACCAAGAAAGAAGAAACGCATCAACAAGAAACAGGAGTCATGCGTAGAATAACCACACATGTCCTAGACCTGCACCAAGATGCATCAGTAAAAGACTGAGACCCCCCCCCCAACCCTGCGACTTTTCAGTCTCTCAGAATTGGTATTGCACAAGCATCTCTTCAAAATAGGAGGACCTGTTAAATTACCTGACCAGCCCTACCCCCGACACGCAATCGCTCTCACACGCGCAGTGACTAGAGCTTCTGGAAACTGAGCATGCTGACACCTTGGTTCATGAGCCCCACACCACCTTAGTGTCACTCGCACTTGAAAGTCGTTAGTGTCGGATGGAGGGTTTAGGCGCTCTGGGGGAGTCGCAATGGGGGTCACGTCGCAAGGGCCACAGCTGAGGCTTCCGACAACTCAGGCGAAGCAGGGTCAACAGTCGGGTTGCGATACTGCAAATGCAAGGCCAATTCAATTTATTTTTGCCTCGTTGTATGCGATCCGCTAGGCAAGGTGTCATCGACAACACCTGTGAGGTGGCCTCATCAGAATTCAAGGGTTATAGTGTTATAAGGGTTTAGAATGAGCGTGGCCAAGAGTTGCCCACTCGCACCATATGATATACTGCCTTACGACCTCAAATTGCCCACAACTTCGAGTAATTCCAATCAAGTGCAGGCGCTTCTAAATCACGGGTCGGCCGGTCGTAGCAAAACCCACAACAAATCTTGTCAAAGCCAGCCGCAAGCCTGTAGACGCTCTAATCCGAATCACCTTTACCTTTTTTTCACTAATCACCTTTACCTAAACCCTAAAACCTCAAACCTTTTTCACACCTGGACTTGATGAATTCCAGCACCCCACCCTCAAACCTAAACCCTTTTTTTACATCTGGACTTGATGAATGCCAGCACCCCACTGAGCGCGGACCAAGGACTCTGCCGAGGCACCAGCACAGCGGGAAAGGAACACTACATGAACAGCTTCATCCCTGCTCAATCAAAACCTGCAAAACGAACCCTAAATCCTAAACCCTCCTAGATTCCAACGCGGACCAGGGCCGGCACCTTCGCCTCGTTCCTGGAGCTTGGCCTCACAGCTTCGAGGAGCCCCATATACGGCTGCACCATGGTTTCCGGATTTACTGCATGGCCAGCTAAGAAGCTTGATGCTTCGGCAACATGCCTTGCTGCACATCCTGAACCCCCGACCCACTCTTTCCCATACACACAAAGTCGCTTCGTGGCGGTGGTGCTGGTGGTGGTGGCGGCTTCAGTGGTCCCTGTTGCGGTGGCAGCATCAGCACCAGTAGCATTCAATAAGTGCAGCGATGACTTGTTGCCGGTCGCTGCCTCGAGGCAGCAAGAGCCGAAGAGGTAGCGGCAAGCAGCGGCTACAACAAGCAGCAGCAGTAGCCAAGTAGACAGCAAGAAACACCACCAAGATGGTCGGTAGGAGGAGGTTGCCCGCACTGTTTGCGGCGCCGCGTGCGTAGGCAATCACGGCTGCGGTAGCCACAACCTACGTTGTCACGGAGCACGGGACAGCTGCCTTCAGATTCAAGCAGTGGGCCGACCTCCAGCTATGGCTTACAAAAACGTCCACGTGCTCAACGCGGATGGACGATTCGAAGATGCAAGCTGGCACATCTCGCATGAAGATGTCTCCGCTCTGGGCGAGGATCCTCTTCGCAGTAGTGGCACGGAACAGGTCTTCTGCACATCATCGAAGGACTCCGGTGGGCGGAGTCGGTCCATGGTATGTTATGCTCTCGGCCATGCCAAAACTGACGTCCGAAAATTGGAAGGTTCGAGCGCGGCGGTGGCTGCAAGAAAAATATCTAACATAATCTGTCAAGTGTGATGCAATGTGGCATTGAGATGAGAGGTGGCGAGAATGAACATGAAATGCCCTGATTAAACCCACAACCCTACTGAAAGTCAGCGTTTCCCACCACCGCAGAACACGGGATCCGAGATCCAAGCCGGTCCACCGCTCCGCAACACTGAAAGAAGCTCCTCGCAGTGGGCCTCTCAACAAGGAAGTACCTTGACTAAGCATGCAGCTCCCAGAGACTCCAAAACCTTTTAACTAAGGAATAATATACCTTAAATCATATTAAGGATCCTATTACGATTTAAGGTATATTCCCTCATTAAGGGGTTTTGGAGTTTTGGAATCTCTGGGCTACCTAACTGTTCCAGCTTCGAGGCAGTCATCGCTACTCCTGTGGTCCAACTCGTTTGTTGCTAGCGTTGCATCAGCCCACGCAGGGTAGAACTGTACTGGGCGAAATCTACCTCGTGAAAATCTCTATCGTCTGCAATGGAGGTGGTGGTGGTGGTGGTGGTGGTGGTGCTGGTGGTGGTGGTGGTGGTGGTGGTGGTGGTGGTGGTGGTGGTGGTGGTGGTTGGTGGTGTTGGTGGTGGTGTTGGTGGTGGTGGTGGTGGTGGCGGTGGTGGTGGGAGTCGTAGTAGCAATAGCAGCAGTCGCAGCAGTCGTCGTCGTGGTGGTTGTTTTCGAGCAGGGAGCAGCAGGAGCACGAGCAGCAGCAGTAGTAGGAGTGGGAGCACGAGCAGGAGCAGAAGGAGCAGGAAAGCAGCAGTTGCAGTGGTGGCGGTAGTAGTCGCAGTAGCAGTAGCAGTAGCAGTGGCAGTGGCAGTGGCAGTTGCAGCAGCAGCAGTAGGAGTGGGAGTGGGAGTGGGAGTGGCAGTGGGAGTAGGAGTAGGAGTAGGGGCAGGAGTAGGAGAGGAGTAGGAGTAGTAGCCGTCGTCGTCGTCGTAGTAGTTCTCGGATTCAGGCGAACCGTCCAACCATATCTGTGGCAAGCGACATGCAAAGCAGCCCAACTAGAAGAACACCGAAACGGGTGAAGCATGCAAGCATCTGAAACAAAATAGAGCATCACATTAGACACTAGGTTCACACGTCAGGATGTGTCAGTCTACTGAGGCAAGGCCAGAGCAGTACATCTAAAGCTAAACCAAGATAAACATAAGAAACAGGCCACAAGTCAGTAACTGCCTTCGCGCCTCAGTTCACCTACAGCTAGGACACAGTTTGACATCCACGGTCCTGTCCTAATTCAAGAGGCTGAAAGGTCTCCGCCAATTTTTCCCCGCCATCATGCGCAAGTCTACGCCCCTCTAGGCTGGATGCAAGGATTCGTTTACATATCTACAAGAGCTGCTTGACACGGAACAGCTGGCTCTGCCCAACGCACCGGCACTGGGGCCGGTGGATCTGAGGCATCACAGGCTGTCTCGGTCTAGCGGCAGAGAGGCGATCCAAGTTTCTGGATTGCATGCACACTTAGTCCACCCACTTTGTCAGGTAGGTGCTGCCCTTCAGCGCAGCATCCACCTGATCTGTGCTCATGGCCTTGTACTTAGACAAGTCCTTGGGGTTCTCCCACTCAAAGAACTTGATGCCTCCCTTCGTGCAGGGCTCGCGGCCGAAGTGGCAGTAAGCCGCTGTCTCCTGGTACTTGGGCTCACGCAGAGCCAAGGACTGGGCGATGGCACCAGGTCGGCAGTCGAACTCGATCTTCAGGACTTTGGTGATGGAATCAACGTCAAGGCTGCCCTTCTCGCTGCCATAGGTCTCCACAAACAGGGACAAGGGCTTTGCTACGCCAATGGCATAGGACAGCTGCACCAAGCAACGGGCGCTCAAGCCGCTGTTCACCACAGACTTGGCCATCTGGCGACAAATGTAGGCAGCTGATCGGTCCACCTTGGTGGGGTCCTTGCCAGAGAAGGCGCCACCACCATGGGCTCCCCAGCCTCCATACGTGTCAATGATGATCTTCCGACCAGTCAAACCTGCATCGCCCTGCGGTCCGCCTATGATGAACTTGCCGGAAGGGTTGATGTGCAGGTGTGTGTGGCTGCCATACAAGCTGATGGCCGGCTGCCCGCTCTTCAGCTTGATCGACTGCAGCGTCCGCTTGATTACCTTCTCCTCAATCTCCTTGTTCATCTGCTCCATGCTGGGGGCCACCATCTCCGCACCAGTGTAGCCAGCACATTCTTGGGTGCGCTTGGCCTTGGAGGGCTCCGCGTGTTGGGTGGAGATCACCACTGTGTGGATCTTCTTGGGCTCCACACTACCATCGGGATGCTGCATATACTCAATCGTCACCTGCGTCTTGCCATCCGGTCGCAACCACCAGCACTCACCGCTCTTGCGCACCTCCGTCAGGGTCTTGCCGAGCCTTGTGGCCATGGAGTGGGTCAGCGGCATGCAGTCTGAAGTCTCATCGCTGGCATAACCGAACATGATGCCCTGGTCCCCAGCTCCCACATCCATCTCGTCCTTGCCGACATGCACTCCGCCGGCAATGTCCGGGCTCTGCTTGTTGATGCGGACCAGAACCTCGCAGGTCTTGTGACTGAGGCCCTTGCTGTCCACGCTGGAAAG